GATCTTTTCAAAAAATCAGCTCCTGGATTTATTGATTTTTTTGAAGGGTTTTTTATGTCTCTATCTCCTTCAGTTCTGCTCTGATCTTAGTTATTTCTTGTCTTCTGCTAGACTTTGAGTTTTTTTGATCTTGCTCCTGCAGCTCTTTCAATTTTGACAATAGGGTGTCGATTTTTTATCTCTCCTTGCTTCTCATGTGGGCACTTATTGCTATATACTTTACTCTGGAGACTGCTTTAAATGTGTCCCAGAGATTCTGGTGTGTTGTGTCTTCATTTTCACTGGTTTCGAAGAACATCTTTATTTCTGCCTTCATTTCATTGTTTATCCAGCCAACATTCAAGAGCAAGTGTTCAGTTTCCATGAAGCTTTGTGGTTCTGAGTTAGTTTTTGAATTCTGAGTTCTAACTTGATCGCACTGTGGTCTGAGAGACTGTTATGATTTCCGTTCTTTTGCATTTGCTGAGGAGTGATTTACTCCCAATTATGTGGTCAATTATAGAGTAGGTGTGATGTGGTGCTGAGAAGAATGTATATTCTGTGGATTTGTGGGTGGAGAGTTCTGTAAATGTCTATTAGGTTTGCTTGTTCCAGATCTGAGTTCAAGTTCTGGATATCCTTGTTAATTTTCTGTCTGGTTTATCTGTCTAATATTGACAATGGGGTGTTAAAGTCTCCCACTATAATTGTGTGGGAGTCTAAGCCCCTTTGTAAGTCGTTAAGAACTTGCCTTATGTATCTGGGTGCTCCTGTATTGGGTGTGTATATATTTAGGATTGTTAGCTCTCCTTGTTGCATTGATCCTTTTACCATTATATAATATCCTTCTTTGTCTCTTTTGATCGTTGTTGCTTTAAAGTCTAATTTATCAGAGATGAGAATTGTAATTCCTCCTTTTTTTTGCTCTCCATTTGCTTGGTAAATCTTCCTCCATCCCTTTATTTTGAGCTTTTGTGTATCCTTGCATGTGAGATGCGTTCCCTGGATACAGCGCACTGATGGGTTTTGGCTTTTTATCCAATTTGCCAGTCTGTGTCTTTTGACTGGGGGCATTTAGTCCATTTACATTTAGGGTTCATATTGTTATGTGTGAATTTAACACTGCCATTTTGGTGCTAGCTGGCTGTTTTGCCCATTAGTTGATGCAGATTCTTCATTGTGTTGATGCTCTTTACCATCTGGCATGTTTTTGGAGTGGCTTGTACTGGTTGTTCCTTTATATGTGTAGAGCCTCTTTCAGGAGCTCTTGCAAAGCTGGCCTGGTGGTGACGAAATCTCTGGGTACTTGCATGTTCACAAAGGATTTTATTTTTCCTTCTCTTATGAAGCTTAGTTTGGCTGGATAGGAGATTCTGGGTTGAAAGTTCTTTTCTTTAGGGATGTTGAATATTGGCCCCCACTCTCTTCTGGCTTGTAGGGTTTCTGCTGAGAGATCTGCTGTGAGTGCGATGGGCTTCCCTTTGTGAGTAACCCAACCTTTCTCTCTGGCTGCCCTTAGTATTTTCTCCTTCATTTCCACCCTGGTGAATCTGACGATTATGTGCCTTGGGGTTGCTCTTCGTCAAGAATATCTTTGTGGTGTTCTCTGTATTTCCTGGACTTAAATATAGGCCTGCCTTGCTAGGTTGGGGAAGTTTTCCTGGATAATATCCTGAAGAGTATTTTCCAGCTTGGATTCATTCTTTTCGTCGCATTCAGGTACACCTATGAAATGTAGATTAGGTCTTTTCACATAGTCCCACATTTCTTGGAGACTTTGTTCATTCCTTTTTACCCTTTTTTCTCTATTATGCCTTCTCATTTTATTTCATTGAGTTGATCTTCAACCTCTGATATCCTTTCTTTTGCTTGGTCAATTCGGCTGTTGAAACTTGCGCATGCTTCGTGAAATTCTCGTGTTTTTCAGCTCCATCAATTCACTTATATTCCTTTCTAATTTGTCCATTCTCGTTTGCATTTTGTCAAATATTTTTTCAAGGTTCTTAGTTTCTTTGCATTGGGTTAGAACATGTTCTTTTAGCTCACAGAAGTTTCTTACTACCCACCTTCTGAAGTCTGATTCTGTCATTTCATCACACTCGTTCTCGCTCCAACCTTGTTCCCTTGCTGATGAGGAGTTGTGATCCCTTGTAGGAGGAGAGGTGTTCTGTTTTTGGGTGTTTTCATTCTTTTTGTGCTGGTTTCTTTCCATCTTTATGGATTTATCTTCCTGTCGTCTTTGTAGTTGCTGACTTTCAGATTGCTGACTTTCAGATTGCGTCTCTGAGTGGATGTTCTGTTTGTTGATGATGAAGTTATTTCTCTTTCTTAGTTTTCCTTCTAACAGTCTGGCCCCTCTGCTGGAGGACTGCTGAAGCCACTCTAGGCCCTGCTTGCCTGGGGATCGCCTGCAGCAGCTGTAGAACAGTATGGGTTGCTACCAGTTTCTTCTTCTGCTATCTTTGTCCCAGAAGGATACCTGCCAAATGTCAGTCTGATCTCTCCTTTATGAGGTGACTCTTTGGATATACAGGGGTCAGGGAGCTGCTTGAGGAGACAGTCTGTCCTTTATAGGGGCTCAAGTGCTGAGCTGTGAGCTCCGTTGTTCATTCAGAGCTGCTGGGCAGGTACGTTTAGGTCTGCTGCAGCAGAACTCATAAACCACTTTTTTGTTCCCAGGTGCTCTGTCCCAGGGAGTTAGGGCTTTATTTATGAGTTTCCGTTGTGTTGCTGCCTTTTTTTAAATTTCAGGGCTGCCCTGCCCAGCAAGGAGGCAGCCTGGTCACAGTCTGCATGCAGAGGCTTTGCTGAGCTGCTGTGGGCTCCGCCCAGCTGCTGTGTGAACTTCCCTGCAGTCTTGTTCATATGGGTGTACTTAGAACTGCCTCAGCAATGGTGGCCTGCCTGTGTATTGGCGAACTCTCTCTGTAATGGCAGGTTGCCTTGGCAACAACAGGCAGCCTCAGCAATGGCGGGTTGCCTTGGCAATGGCACGCTGCCTCTGCAATGGTGTCAGTAGTGGTGGAATACCTTGGTAATGGCAGACGCCCCTCCTCCACAGAGCTGGACCGTCCCGGGTTCAGCTGCGCTTGCTGTGAAACTCTCAATTCAGAGAGTTTCTGATTGCTGTTCTTTTGTAGGGGTGGGACCGAGCCTGATCACCTGGCTCCCTGCCTTCGAGCCTTTTTTTTCTTTTTTTAGTAGAATAGCTGACTCTATCCCTGTCGCCTGTTGAAAAGGCACTGGGATCTGTTTGATTTCCCGTGCCGCGACTCACTGCACCGGCTTAAACAGTGACCCTGAGATTCGTGGCACTTTTTTTTT